ACAGTGGGTGAGGGGGAGTGGAGCCCTTTGGGGGTAGAATTGGAAAGCATTTCAAGAAAAAAAGCAGTGTCAGCTCAAGGGGAAATTTCTTGCCCTTTCTATACCAACAGCCTGTGGGAACCTGCTTGTGGGAACAAGCTGGCTTTACTTTTACTTGTTGGCATTGTTTTAGAGGAAAGTTTTCATTGAAGTCTTGGAAATTCCCAACCCAAAAAATCTGTTCCTCAGTCACTGTAATTATTCAGGATTTTTCATATATATGCCTTGCCACAAACCTGTAGTGATCCTGGAAACCCAAGTAGCAAAGAAAAATGATCACATTCCTTAATTAGGAGCCATTCTGGGATATTTGGGGATGAATGGTCTTTGACAGGTACTCATCAATGAAAGGCACAAAGCTCTTGGGACAAAGTCAAAGTATTTTTACATGCATCAGGCTACAGGCAGCAGGAACTCTCCTTCTGGAATGGTTAAGAACAAGCACCTCTCTGCAGAATAATGAGATACAAATAGTATGCAAAGGATAAGCCTCTGGGCCAATATCCTTAAAAATATTTCAACTTACATTCTGATGGAGACAGAATGGAAAGGGAACACTAGTGTTTACACAGAATTTGAGGAGTGTACTTTTTTCCTGTTGTTAATGCATAAAATGTGAAGAAAGTATATCCTGTTTCCATGTTTAGTAAAACCTATCACCCTCATGGGGAGTGGTACACCAGCCTTCAGTAAAATTCAGGGTTATTGTCACTGCCCAGAACAATTTGTTCATTGTGACTGAAGAAAAATAGGTATTTAGTCAGCGTCTAGTGCAAGAAAAGGGCAAAGAACAATAATTGTTAATATCCTAGCTCTAACTTTCTTCAGGATTCAGTAAGGGCACGCGTCTTCCTTTTCCACATATAAACCATAAAGCATGTTCCTCACCACACAAGAAAAAAAAAACAAACCAAAAAAACCCCAAACTAAACCAAAAGCAAAACAAACAAACAAAAACCACTATTACCACCAACAAAAAAAAACAAAAAAAAAGTTGGAATCATGTTTATGAAGTTAGTGGAGAATGACATGGGCAACATAAAACAAGTAAGTCATAAGGCTTGTGGAGTCTTTAATTCCTAAGAGAAAAAAAAACACATTTCACTCAAAAACATTCCTAGGACAAAAACTAAAAGTTAAAACAAGTTTTCTCTGGAAATCTCTACATCTCTCTCCCTTCCCATTCTGTCTAATTTCTACACTGTTAGGCTATGTTAACTTCTATAGCCAGCAGTTAGACCTAGCAGAAAATGAACCATTCACCACAATAATATACTGCTAGCAAGTCCCTGGTAACATACAGCTAAAAATATGACAGTATGCTGCAAAATTCTGAGAACCATAGAATGGTTTCTGTTGCAAGAGGCCTTAAAGATCATCTACTTCCAAACGCTCCGCCAAAGGCAGGGACACCTTCCACTAGACCATGTTGCTCAAAGCTCCATCCAGCCTGGCCTTGAACATTTTCAGGTGCCCTAAGGAACTCCACCATTCCATGGTCACTGCAACCAAGACTTCCCTTGAGCTTCACATTCCCCACGAGCCCCTCCTTATTGGTGAGAACATAGCACCTCTATCACTTGTAGAAGGAAGTTATCACCAACACATTCCAAGAACTTCCTAAGTTCCTAATATTGCCTAAGCCCTGCTGTTGAGTTGGTTGAAGTTCCCATGAGGACCAGGATTTGAGAATGTGAGCTGCCCCTGTCTGTCTATGAGGGCCTCATTCATGCAGTCTTCCTGGTCAGGTGGCCTGTAGCAGAGCCCCACTATAGTGTCCCCTTTATCCCTTTAATCTTGACCCAGTCAGCTCCTCAGCCATACCCTGGCAGAGCTCCATACACTCCAGCTGGTCACTGATATAGAGGAGACACCCCCTCCACATCTCCCCTGCCTGCTCTTCCTAAAGAGCCTGTATCCTTCCATTCCAACATTCTGGTCACAGGAGCCATCCCACTATATCTCCATGATGCCAGTGCAGGTGTGTGCACATCTGTAGTTCATCTTGTTTATTCCCATGTTTATTCCCTCTATGTGTGTTTGCATAGAGGCATTTAAGCTGGGCCCTGGATAAAGCTGCCTGACTGACTGGAGTGGGAGAAATTCTTTTGGGCTGCTCTTCAAGGGCTCTCCTGCTGACCTTTGATTCCTCTCCAGACTCTGGTTTTCTCTTACTGGCCCTGACATCAAACTGGTACCAATGCTATGGACTGAGGTTCCTCTCCTCCTGCAAGTGTAATTTAAAGCCCTCCTCAGCTTGGCAAGCCTGTAACTGAAGATGTTCCTCCCCTTCCCTGACAGACTTCAGACTTCCCCCAGTAGATTAGGTTTCTTAAAGGAAGTCCCACGTCCTAAGTAGCCAAACCCCTAGTTGTGGCACCAGTCCTGTGACTGTTCATTCACCAGATTTGACTGGCCCTTTCAAACCCCTTCCCTTTGATCAGGAAGACTGATGAAAAAGATTCTTGTGCTCCAGAGTCCCTTAAGTCCCTCATCACCTCTCCCAGGGCTCTGTAATCCTTCCTAATACTCCTCAGGCTGCTCTTGGCTGTATCACCAGTGCCAAGGAATTCACCTACCAAATGCCAGAAAACCCAGCACATAGTCAATATATCAATGTTTGTCCTTACTGATCTTAATTTTCATCTTATTGTCTACAAGTTTGGGTTACCAGAATCCCAGGCACTAACTCAACAAGCTTTGGCCAGGCACCACCCACTGGCACAGTGCACCATCTTGCTGGCAGTGGCAGTGGTAGTGGCAGCAGCTCCTGGCTCTGGTCAAGAGCAGATGTATGTGAAGGAGAAGACAAAGCCTCAAACAACCACTTCCCAGTGGCTGGGGTGCCAACAGTGGCAGAGGAGCTCCCAGGGAGGCCATCTGGGCAGGGAAACCTGCATGACTTCCATGTTTTATAAAAGATGCAGTAGTCCAATGCCTGGTTAGGGCCATTACTGGTTGAGGTTCTGTGGCTTGTCTTGTGGAGAAGATCAGATAAAACAGCCATAGCCTGCAGGCTGGGAAAACTATTAAAGGGCAGGCTGTTTCTTTTTTTCTACCCTTCCTAGACACCACAGAGTTTGGTACATCTTGTAGCTAAAAGCATTAAATATGTCATTACCATAAATACCAAAATCACTTAGCTGGAACTTAGTTGTATTTATGAGACCTCAGTTTCACACTTGAATGAAAGTGAGACAAATTAGTGATTGTGACTGTGATAGTAAGCCAGACTTGCAGATGATAATACCACAGAGTAAGTACAGCAACAATAAAAATTTTTATATTGACTATGTGCTCTTTTTTGGCATTTACAATAGGTTTTTTTCTATTTTATCTCTTCTATGATTACTCTGAATGAAAGTTCTGAATATATAAGTTTAATTCACTGAAAAGTAAGTTCAAAATCTGTCACACGTGAAACCCATTGTAGTAAGTGTATATATTAGTTGCAATGATTTGCTGACTAATGTGTTGCTTTGGCCAGCTTGTTAAACAAAATGCTTGAATGACATGTTCTGCTGATTCATCTCTCTCCCCCCTTCAGACGCTATTCTCAACTGAATATGCAACTTATGCTTTCTTCTGCAATTCCTGGTACACTTTATTGAAGATCTTTTAATTCCAAACCTGACATATTTTCCATTTGCTCGCAATGTGCATCCTGAGTGTCTACAAATGGTGCAAAATTTAAGGATAAAGAAATTTTCAAGAAATAAAAATGAAATTACATAGAAGGTTTGCATGGAATAATCTGTATTTGTCAATAATATATTATACATCTCATACTGAAGGTTAAAAAAATCACAGTGAGGAGCAATTGTCATGTGGAAAATGTGAATTTCTGAAAAAAAAATATACAAAGGCATAATGAACTGTCACTCCAGAATATAGGTTGGCCAGATTTTTCAACTAAGAGTCAGTGAATGTGTTTTGTTTTTGTTATGATCAGACTTGCCCTAACACCGTGCTGGGACATACCACCTATATTTTCAATCCAGTAGGACTGGAGGGGTGTTAAATGCCAATAGCAGAGTTGTGCTGCAGGAGACTGGTCAGGTTTGGACATAAAAGTGTCAGGCAGCTGCTGTCCCTCCTGCCCTGCACAGTAGACAGCAAGTGGAGGGCAGAGAGTGGCACAGAGGGGACACTGATCCCTTTCACAAGGGTTTGCATGGGGGCAGCACAATATTTCTTTCTAGCATGTGTGGCGAGAAGAAATCTAAATGCCATGAGGTGGATGTTGACCAGACTCAAATTCCCTGGGGGAAGACAGCTGGGAGAAGATGAACGTCCCATCTCATTGCCTGTAGTGGCACAGGCATGTGCCAATACAAGAAGAAAGAGCACACAAGTGGATGGACAGATAGTGTCCCTCAGAGTCTGCATCTGCCTAGAAAGGTGGGATGTTGGCACCTCAAGGCAGATGTGGGTAATTTTGGCTCTTATAGTATGACAGCAAGCTTCATCAGCCTAGCATTTCCATACCTTTTAAATTTTATTCTGTGAGTGGCAGGTTCAGCTGGACAGACAGAAATTCAGGGACTGGCACATCTCTTATGAAAAGTTGAATCCTGGAGAGATTGAAGTATTTTTAAATGCCAATAGCAGAGTTGCACTGTAGGAGACAGAGGTCACCTTGAACCCAAGAAACTGGTCAGGAGATCAAAGCAGAGAACTGAGAGGCCAAATTAGAATGTAACTTTTCTTAGCTACCCCGAGAAAAAATTGTTCATTAAACACTTCCAAAATCTGTTGGTCTATTTATTTTCACTGCTGTATGTTCCTGAGGAGGTGGTCCATTAGCCAGAATGCTCACAGATAAGACTTTGAGAAAAATTGCCCTCAACTACAGGGAAACCTGTCGAGTCAGATTTTGGGCAAAAGGCTGAAATAACAATAAGGGGGCGAGCGAGAGGAGCATCGCCACAACTATCTTTACAAATTACTGCAAACCATGAACAACAGCAGCTCATCTCCTGCTGTGATCAGACTAAGAGCAAAATGGTTACGTGCAGCCAGCCAGCAAGAGGAGGTGCCGTGCCTGAAGATGGACCAGACAGCACCCAGTATGGCAAAATTACTTGCTCCAGCACTGCCCAAACATGGTGACAAGTGCAGTCCTGCTCCCACAAGGATGCACCAGCTGAGAAGTCTCTGAGCACTACACGTGCCTCAGGAGTACACCCTTCTTTATAGCGAGGTTTGGAGGTGGGGAACCCTAGCACAGCAGCCTGGTGGACCAGGGAAATACCGCATGCAACAAGGCTGGTCCTCACTAAGATGCCTCTGTTGAAGACTTTGATTTCTCAGTCTAAGGAAACTAAAAACTATTTTCTTAGTGGCAGAGAAGAAATATGTGAATTCAGGAGAAAGTTGATCAGGAGAGACATGCTTATGAATAAGGGCTCAGTGGTGTGAGAAAAAAATACAGTAGCAATTAAAAGAAATGGATTTCAAAGAACTTTGGAGACAGAACAACACATCTAGTGGTAGGAAGAATGCTGACAAGAAGCTTGCTTATTTTAAAGACAGGGTTGATAAAAGGCCCATTTAATTTTGGTTTGCTTTGGATCTTGAGCAATCACAGACATACACTGAGTAATGAATGATGGCTTGAAGTCAAAATCTGATTATGTCGAGATCTGTGAAGTCCTCATCACTGGCCTTTCTGAGGCTGCACTAGATCTCTCATAAGAGATGATTAACAAAACTGAAAAGTGTGCCAACAGATTGAGAATGATAAAGGAAGTCTTTGGGGTTTCTATTGCACATCAGTAACCTATTTAAGCCACTCCTGCAAAACACACTCAGGAGCAAGGACTTTACAGGTAGGGAGTATCCATAGCCCAAGCTTGTGCTTTACACTGCAAGTCAGTGTCTGTACTCAGAATCAGTGGGAGTTTGTGTGGAAAAACTATCCCAGTTGTTGAGTGGAAAAACTTTCCCAGTAGCCAGGATATTTTGCAGTCATTCCTGTTGAAATATGCAGCACTTTCCACTGCAGCAGACAGTACTGGCAGTTGTTTGGGGTAAAGTCATAGGGATGTTGTATAGCAGTGGACATAGCAGCACATAAAAATGTCTATCTTCTCATGAAAACCATATTTTACCCAAATAACTGGTTTCAGTCACAAATCATGGAAGGACAGAGAAGACACCACCAGTTTTGAAGGAAAGAGACCCTGTGAGATTAGTTAGCCCTCCTCCTGCCCAGGGAAAAGCAGCTGTATCCACGCATGACAGATGTTTTCCAAACCCTTTCTGAAAAATCACCAGCAAGATTCAGTAGTCTCACAGAAAATGGTCACAGTCTTTCCTTATCCTCACATAATATAGCATGTTCACAAAAAAATTAAATACTTCCTCCAGCTATTTCCATGCATTGCTACAACACAAAGCATAGTCAATGAGAATTAAATTGGTAACTTAATCTTTTGAGATAAGAGCAAGAAAGTCTAGGTAAAGTTTCTAAGGAAATTACTTAACATCAGGACTTCTGAGCTTCTCTTCTGATTTATTGAGGCTGTGTTCCTTACAGACTCTCTGACATACAGAATTTCAGGAAGAATTATGTCACCAGGAGGAAGAAAAGGTGAGGTGATTTTTTGATAGGAAGCTAATATCAGGAATAAATATAGGGTAGCTTGCGCTGCTTCTTAACATAAACTTTCCTGAGAGGCTCAACAGACTTTGCATTTCCTTAATGGAGACACATTTTTCAATTTAAAATCCTATGCAAGTGAAATACTGCTTTCATTGATGATTGCAGCAGGAAATCAATTCAGCATTACACAGGCTGAAATAGATCCCAGAAACTGCCTTAGTTCCTTGATTGCAATGCAAGTCTGACAATCTACAGAGCTGAGGCTCTGTCTCTCTATTTAGATAGCAGATGGTATTCTGACTGCCACCTTATAAATAGAGCAGGTCAGTTGGCAGTAAAGATAGAACTGTGAGAGGTCTGCTGACATCAAATTAATATAGACATTTCTTTCTTGATAGTATTTGATTTTAAAAGGCTCTTGAGAATTTAGTGTTCAAATCTCTGAGATTCATGATGTACTGTGCTATACAAGGTCATTGATGTCACCGACAACTTTATGGGCAATAGCTCTTGCCATCAGATAGCATTCAATATGTGCAAACATAGGCTGAAAACTGCATTCATTTGGACTGTAACATTGAAGGTCCAGTCTCATGAACTGCTGAGAGCTCAATTTATCTTACTTGTGCTGAATTAATCATAAGGAAGTACAGGAAATGTTCAACCTTTGTCTCAGAGAAACCGTCATGGTAACATTAAGGGATGAGCATCAAATCAGAGAGACTGCTGCTGCTGGAGCAGGGACAGGAGTTCAAAGGCTCAAAGATTGGAAGCCAATCTTGTATTCAGGGTCCAGCAGGTCAGTGCCCCCTGACTTAAGATTGTATGGGCGGTGAAACTTAGTACCAGCATGCCTAACTCATAATGAAACCTCTACATCTCACAGCCTGAAAACTTGTCAGCAGTCTCTTGGACCTGTGAAGTTAGCAAAGTGGAGAAAGGCCCTTCTTTTAACTCAGCTTCCCATTCTACTACAACTAATGAAACATCATTGCCTGTCTCATGGCAGAAGTTTTACCAAAACCTAGCTCTGAAAAAACATTTCTCCCCTCAGAACAACCTCCACAGGAAAAATAAACAAACCTTTACAGAGTAATACCGGCACTGCATCAGTCACTAGATCACACATTTCTCAGCTCAAAGAGGTTCATGTTTTCAGCTCTGCTGTGTCCAAACTACTAACCCTGATGTTATTTATTTAAATTAATACCACAATGGACAAAGTTACAACACTCTAAAAATCCTTTCTCCCAGGAAAGTAACGAAAGCCTCTAGAACAGAGAGTGAGGGAGCTGACAAGCCTGCAAACCTGTCCTGGTGAGGAAAATACAACAAAGAGAATATTTGGGTGATGCCGTCTTTAGTGGCCCTGCTTCACTCCTGCTCTACAGTCCAAGGATTTATCTTGAGGAATGTCAGAGCATGCAAAGCCTAAAAATGCAACACTTCTTCCTTTGCTTTTCTTTAAGCCTTGCAAATGACAGACATTGAAATCTCACCTACTATGCCTATGAAAACATTTACTGTTCTGTCCTTGAATTAAGCTAGGAAAAATTGTTCATGAAATGAATTGTTCATGAAATGAACACAGCCAGATCTGAGGTGATAGGAGCTTTGGAGGGATTTTTTTTCAGAAGAGATGAAGGGTGGTTTTTTTTAAGACTTTCACACATTTTTGTGGGTTTACTCCAAACCTGTGCTCTTGCTTTGGTAACATCACTTGCACTTCCATGGACAAGATGTGTTAGTGCTGGGGGCAGCTGGGCTCATGGAGGTACAGTGTCTGGACAGCCAGAGCCTGCCAGTAGTTGCTAGGACTCCACTAGACTATAGGAAAGAGATGAAAGGATGTGAAGTCAAATCTGACAAAAGATGTGCAATATGTTACGTACAGCTGAAGTTCAGCACTGAAAGCTTTCATTCTCACACCGGTGGGAGAATAACAGCCATTACCTTGATTTTGACATTGAGATTGGATAGACAAGGGAAAGAAGCTGCACAGATACTACACAAATAAATATAGCCCTAAATGCAGAGAAAATTCGGGGGGGGGGAGGAGGGGAAGAGGGGGCAGGGCAAGGTACTAGGTGAAGGTGTGCATGTGCATCTACAAAGATGTCAAACACATGTCAAGAGCTGTTCATGTTTTACAACTCTCAGGCTGGTGTAAGTGGGTGTGGCAACAGACCATGAGGGAACTGTATCCACGATATCATTCACTGTCTGTGAAAAGGTGTTTTCAATTTGCACTTTCACGTAGCAGCTCATGTTTGGTATCCGCAGTAGACAGTACATGATGCCTTTGATTTTTTTCCTTTGTTATAATAATTTTACAGTAAACAACCATTTGTTCCTCTTTCTTTTCCAGTATAAAGACAGTCACAGACTTATCGATAAAGGAGAAAGTTCTCAAGCGGCTCAGGCAGGTGCAGTTTGTGGATTGTATACAGGCACGACCGACCTAGATGCTTTCTGATACACAACCGGCACAGTTGGGCAAGACTGGCGGGACCTGGGAGGAAAAGAAAAGGCAAGAATAAGCACCCCCAACCCCATCAGCAGTATAAGCCAAAGCAACAAACACCAGCAAGATTTGAAAATCAGATCAAACACTACACAGTGACTTGCTGAAGTCAGGGATGGCTAAATAGATTATTGTTCATATTTAATTTATGTTGTCAAAGTTGGTTCAGCAATTTGAAAACTGTGAGCATAAAAATCCTTTTTCTGTATGCACTGCTAGGCTTTTCTGCATCTTTTCTTGAGCAAACACTTAAAATACCATAAAGTTGTCTGCATTGGAGAGAGAGAGCTCTGGGATACATAGCCCTTGATCGGGACATAAGACAACTCCCAGCAATTTTGCAAGGATAAAGATACAGGATAAATACAGTTAGTTGTTCACATATATAGAATGTGCTTCTTCCAACTGCTGCACAAATAGTAATTGCAACTTAGCCTTTTTATATGACTACACTGTCTCTGAACATGTATATCAGTCAGTCTGTCAGTGCTCCTCAAAATATTTTCTTACTATGTAATCCAATTTTTACTAAGTCTGACTGAAGGAAAAACATATCAAAGATAAAAAGTTTCAAAAGTTTTGTGCAAAAAGACATCGAGAGGAAAAAAAAACCCCACATCCAAAAAACTACCAAGATGAGAGGCCTTTCTGTCCTTCCCTAGGCCCAGGGTAAAGGCTGCTTTATGTGAAAAGCTCTTGTTAAACATCAGAGGGTCAACTGGTAGGAAAACTGCCAGATAACTCATCCAGACAATGGTGAGATCAGCTTGTGCACAGCACTGCCCACAGCAGTGCTGCCCCCGTGGCTTCCCCGCAGGGGGACCAGGAGCTGCCCCAACCGCACCCACCATGGGTCAGGTGAGGGGCATGCCAGGCACAAACCCACCAGATATGAGGCTCCATTGCTTCTGCAACTACATGTTTGCACATGCAAATGCAAGTTGCTAATGGATGTGTCCCTGCTCCTCCTTTGCTTTCCTCTTGCTGGAGCTGTTCCAAGTGAAACCTTTACACCTGCCCAGAGGTGCTCAGTTTTTGAACCTTGTCTTAGCCCTGCCACTCCAGTTTCTGCCCAAACAGTAGCAATCACAGCAGAGTTTTACATGTAATGGGTAGAGATGTGTGCTTAAAGGCCCATCCTTATATCTTACAGATAAGCTTCATAATCTGTCCTTTTACTGCAGGAAAGTAGCCTAAACCGGCTGATAATGTCCCCTCTGAGAAGTAATTAATAGAAAAATATGAGATACGTAGAAAAGAGCACTTGTTCTACTGATTGGAAGCGAAGAAAGAAGCTATCATCTCCCAGAGGAGTTAGGAAAATAGACATGGTTTATATTTCACATCACTTAATAGTTAGTAAGGGGAGCAATTAAATGGAGTCATCTAAGTAACCACAGTGGAGAAGTTGGAGATAGGAAAACTCTTCAACTGGGATGCTTATTTCAAACAAAAGGACCTCAGAAAACATAGAAGTAGGGGTAAAGGCAAGTTGCATGTTAGACATAGCAAAATATGTGAAAGTGACCCTCTAGTCCCTCTGACTGTAAGGGAGGAGAGGATGACAAGCTGAGAGTTAAAATCAAAAGAAAAGTTCAGGAAGAGAAAATTATTAATATTGGCTTATTTCTTTATCTCCACAGCCTCTGGTTCACACAGGGAGCTGGAGCAGGACAACTGCCAGCACTGCTTTTGCTCACACATTTGAGCATCTCAGATACAGGGACAGCAGTCCCAAGAGGTAAGAAACATTCAAGCAAAAGTCCCCCCAGAAGGTTTTCGACATGGCAAATTAAAGCTCTGCATGAAAAGTCATCGAGAAAGGGATTAGGACAGAAGGATATTAAGCCAATGTTTCATTTTCTCCATAAAGCCAACCGGTGTTCAAGGGCTGGAGTAAAACCTGTGTGCAACACCGACAATTATTAATTTACCATCCAAGAGCTGTTTGGAAGTGGGCCCTCTGTGCACATCATGCTTTGGTCCTTGGTGGGTTGGGAAGATTTAGGCTGACTGCATGGGGGAGCACCATTCATCTTCTGCATGAGCAAAGCCTCGGGGCGGGCACAGACTGACTAACAGGGTACCAGTGAGCTGGGAAACACGGAGGTTAGAGGAAGAGGGGGAAATTAGTTCAGCAAGTCCATATCACAGGGCTATTGTTACTGGATGCATCAAGTTCTGGCCAAATGTGGTGCAGGTGAAAAAGGCACAGGAGGATCTGCATTCATTTCTACTCAGAAGTTTTTTGAGTAGACTGGAAAGATAATTAATTGCAAGAAGGCTGAAGGTAAGCTGCAAAGGGTAGTGCTTGTCTGTGCTGGGATTGCAGCCCCATGAACCACATGGAATTGCTGCGAGCTGCAAAGCTGAATAGCCACCTGGCAAACAGCTCTGCTTTTTCCTGGCAACCAAGGACACATACACTCACATCACTTTTTCTGCAGGAAGCGGGACATTGACCCACAGTACTGGGCTGAATACTAGATGGTGGTACTAAAATGTTATCTTTGAATAAACTTTTACAGTAGGTTTTAACCCTTAGAGTCCCGATAGGTAAATACGTATGATTTTCCTTCAGTAGACAGGAAATGAAAACACAGAAAAACTGAACAATTTATCCACTAAAACCTTAGCACTACATGGCAGATCTAGCAACAAAACAGAGTTCTCTTAGTCATTTCTGTCATGGGGTGCAAGCTTGAAAGCAGCAGAGCAGGTAAGGCAGAAGAAAACTTTTATAGAGCATTACTTATACAAGCTGTCAAGAAAATCTACTTAGGTAAAGAAAATAAATACTGCTTTACTAAAAAAAAAAATAAAATAAAAGAAGAAAGGAAATAATCACCTTCCCTAAGCAGAAGTGCCTGCTCCACTTTGCTGTTGGGTGTGGCAAGGTCCAGGGCACATTTGAGTTCAGCATTTCTGCACTTTGGGTTAGCGCCATAGTCTGTCAGCAAGACAACTATCTCCACACTGGATTTCCTTGCTGCTGCGTGGAGGGGGGTGTCTAATCGCTTCCCCATGTTAACGTTGGCTCCTTGAGTGAACAAGAGTTCATGGTTAGATCTGGGAGGCAGCAGGAACTGTCAGAACCCACATAACACAGGCTGGTTTCCACCAGTAGCCTCAATAAATGAAGGAGACAGACAGCACACAGGACTCACTCCTTTCTCTCAATAGCAGCTGTGCAAAACTCATCAGGTCAAATACCTGCACTGTCAGAGTCCTCTAGGCCACCAAACCCTGTCTGCAACGGTCAGAACTGAGTAGCTTGACCTTCAACACAACAGATGTTCAAAGTCTACCATATGCTCTTTAAATTTGTTAATAGCATAAAATCTAACATGGATTATGTTAATTTAATTGCCAGAGGGAAAACTAAACCAAACCAAACCAAGCCAAACAAACAAACAACAAAACCTTTAGGTATCTCATTGTAATAACTCTGGGAGCACAGCAAGCAAAATGCTTGCCCTAGGCTGGCCGGGCACAGTGGGGCCACACTTCAAGCAGGTGTAAGTCAGGTAACGTACACTGATAAAAAAATTTATGCTAGCTCAGAGGCTGTTCCTGGACCTGCAGTGATTATTCTTCCAAGCAGCTTTACTGCTGCCTTCATCATCCCCTGAGAAATAGGTGAATTTAATGTTTAACATGGCAGTTTATCATAATCAAGAGTTGATTTTGGTCAGTAATATTAGCCAGCATTTTCTGTGCTTCCTGTTATCATTCTAGAAAAGTAAAAGAATTTTATTTTCACATTCAGATAGCTCCAGGGAGGTGTATGTAATTACAGCCTTTTTTTTTAACTGAGGAAATCATAATTTCTTCATCAATGCAGGTGAGATTTTTAATATCCTCAAAAGAGTCTCACAGACTTAGGCTGCCCAAACACCACTTGTGGAAATAACCCATGATGTTTGCAGTGGAGATGCAGCTCAGAGAGACCAGAAGCACTGGCTCACACCACCATAGCTCTCCCCTGGTCCCCTTTTCAGGTGTACCTAGCTGCAAAAGCTTCTTGACACAGTCTGTCCTCTGGTATGTGCAAGCCACGTAGAGAGGGGTCCCATGCTGCAAGTCTTCTTGGTCAATGTCAACCTCATGAGCCAGAAGGATCTCCATGCACTCCCTGTGACCTGCGGAGATAAGAGTTGTTGAATTGCTGCAGAGAAGAACACACCCAGGTACAACCTATGAGGAACAAGAGCTGCGAAAAAGCTAAGCCTATTTATCTGTACTGGTATGGAAGTTATTTATTTAAAATATTTTGTCATCAGTGAAAGATGCATTCCTCATTTAGGTATTAGCTGCATTCACACCCTGAACGTTACCTCTCTTGACTGCTTCGTGAATGGGCGAAGCAAGGTGGTTTCCCAGCTGTGGCTTGGCTCCAAATTCAAGCAGCATGTTGACACACGCTGCACTGCCACTGCAGCAGGCATTGAACAGTGGGGTGATCCCATCAATGGTGACTGCATTGACCTGGAATGGCAAGATACACTCAGGATAATCCAATTTAAAAGGAACGCCCTTGGACCGTGTCTCATGTACACACCAGAAATGCACCAGAATGAGACTCTTGTCATGTGTAATTTCAGAAATTATCTTATTTACAACTTTCTGAGTTATATGTTGTGACATACATATAACATTCTCCTTTGATGTTTGCACTCTTTCCCAGATAACTAGTGCCAGAAGGCAGTGACATTGCCTGCTATTAATGCTCCTCCCGGAGCTGCTAAAAATGCAATTTTTTTCATTATTTTTTTTATATGGAGAAGTTGAATATCTTCATAACCGTATGCACCCATAATGGGTGCAGTATAGTTTGATCTGGCCTCAAGGTAGAACAGCGTCAGATGAAAATGGCTTTGCTTTTTAAATGAAAACATTTACTTTACATTTAATACTTTCACCCAAAAACATGTTTCCGGCAAAAGAAATTTTCACAGAACCATAGTCTTAATCCCAAACAGAAAAAGAGCTTGAAAGAGTCCATATGCACGTGTCTATGCAAGAGAGAAACGATTTCCTTCCCCCACCTCTAATGTAATGACCCGGCAAAAACCATTGTCACTATTCTCCGCTGGGACAGCAGCATCCCTGGCTTATGCTGTGCTCCATGCTGTAGATCATAGAACTGTAGGATCAGAGAATATGCAGATTTGGAAGGGACCAACTCCTGGCCCTATGCTGGACACCCCAAGAATCCCACCACGTGCCTGTTCATGCTGTGTTTAACAGCCCTCAGCTTGTGTTTAGGAAGCCCTCAAGAGCAATTCATGCAGCAAATCTGCATGTCTCTAACTCTGTGGCACACCAGAGAAGAGCAATGGATTATGCAAGCATGTGCCAATTTATATGGATCTCCACCGCCCCCCGCCTCCCCCCAGTCTCATCAGGCAGATGTGGCTGGAGGTGCTGGAGGCACTGGAGATCTATCAGCATCACTTCACAACAGGGACAGCAGTGCAGGCAAGCTGGTAACCAAGGGTAAGCAAGGAGATAAGTGAAGAAGAAAAATTACTTCCTTGGTTTCCCTCTTCACTGGGCATTGGTTTAACTGGTAAAAGAGGAGAGAATGGTAAGATCCATTGTGGAGTGAATGGTTTGGTACCACAGGGAAATAAAGGAAAGCACAGCAAAAAAAAAGGAGAGCAGCATATTGGCATGTGTTCTTTCAGAAGTTACAAAACAGCCTGTTGACTTTATTTATGAACAGAGAGTGGGGGGGGAAGCTAAAACCAAAAAACACTGGAGATATGTATTACACCAGGAATAGGCTGATTTCTTAGGAAAGCAACATAGAGTTCAGAAATGATTCTCTGAGTTATAAAAAAGCAATACCATTAATATACCAAAATCAAGTAAAACTGATTAGAAAGGGGTTTTCCTTTTATCCCTCTAAGGGATTAAAATTTGGCATAGAGTTTAGAAAGTTAACAAATTTGTTTTCTTCTGCAGAGGATAGCTTGATTGCCTGTTTTGGTGTTGCTCAGTTTCTTGCCATATAAATTGTATTTGAAATGCAGCTAAAATAAAAATATTCTTACATATTTCATCCATTCCTTTATCTCCATTGTTAACATGTATTCTACCTCAGGTCCAACTGTGGGAATTATTATTTTATTAGCAGATAAAATGTTTCATTGCTTCAAGAACATCTATTTTTAATTACATGAGACTTCCAAACCATCCCACAGAAAACCAGAGGTAATCCCGGAGATCATTACGGGGGGTGGCGGGGAGAAGGGTTAAGTTACTTTTTCAAGGTTATTTTCACCTAGCATCTTTCATTCCTTTTCCATCAATCACAACTATGTTTCACACACAGAAGGAAAACAAAAGAGAATAATGATGTGACACAAGGGGAAGGCAAATCCATCACCCATGGAAACAAAGCACTGTTTTATTTTTCCACGTTTCTATCTGGGATGCTCCTGTACATCTGCATCTTGGCCCTGCCACACAGACAGCCTGTCCAACATCCCCATTGATGCAGGGAGCACCTGAGTTCCAGGTACCCTTGTCCCAGCTGGCTTCCCCGGGACTCACCTGGGCCCCGTTCTCCAGCAGCACCTTTGCACAGGCGACGTGGCCGCCCAGGCAAGCCTCGTGCAGAGCTGACACACGGTCCGTCGTCACCAGGTTCACGTTGAAACCCTGCAACGCAGGGTCAGGGTGTGAGGGGAAAACACAAACCACACAGTTCCCCCAGAGCTCGCATAGGTGCAGTCAGACCATGGCTGGAGAGCATCATGTCACTGGGTGCGTGTCCAGGGAAGGTGCTTGGCTTGGATTAGTGCTGTTCAGTGCTTCAGTTCTTGTCCCCACATACCACAGCTGGTGATGGGGTGAAAAAAGAAGCAAGGACAAGCTATGCCTTCTGTTTCTAGTGTGTTTATGATGCGCGGTCAATCACAGGAAAGACATCATGTTTCTTAAACTTCTAAGGGTGCCATTACCCCCCCTATTAAGTCCACCACCAGGAGCTACAGCTGGTAGGATTCACCTCCCTGAATGAGGATGCCTCTGGCACAAGTATCAACAGCTCGGCTGGAGCTGGCAGCTCCTTCAGTAGGGACATATCCCTAAGATATGATTCATCCCGTGCTAAGGCAGCTGTTTCTAGTAGGTCAGATGAATTATGTCCTAAAAGATTTTTCATTGATTATAAGGAGTACCTAGTTTGTTTCCCTCAGATTTGGTAAGTACTTGGTAAACCTATAAGATAGATGAGACAAATCTCACCCACAGATCAGTTCCTCTTATTAGACCACTCAGGAAATGTTTTACACTGGAAGAAAGAACAGTGATTTACAAACACATTAGTACAAGTATTTACCTAAATGACAGTTGCCACACCTATTCCTGCACAAAGACAAACCAGACATATTCACAAAGGACAAAACGACAGTCATGTGTGTTTTCCCCAGAATGCAACTAAATCTCTTGATAATTAAGATTTTACAACCAGGCCTGGAAGCAGTTCTGTTTTCCGCTTGATGGCATGTTTTGAAACGCAGTTTGTCTCCACCTGATGTGCTATAGGCAGGACAGCTCACAAGATGGCAGCAATGCACTTTTTGATATGCAGTACTCATTGGGATGGGCAGAAATGAATACCTGGGAGCAGCATAACACTGTAAAAAAGTCATCAGTCCTGACGTCATGAGTATTAAAAGCAACCATTGTATCACTTTAGGCTAGGCATTCTATGATAGAAAAACAATCGGGTTTAGGTCATGTGAAAATATTAGTAATGTAAAAGTTGTCGTTAAAATTTCCATGCATTACAATAGTACCAGGAGAATAGATAAAGCCTTGAAAAAATATTGAGATGATTCCATTTTCTAATTTTATAATTGTTTCATACTTAATGATCAGCATATTCCTTCAAGATCAATGTCTTCTAGAGATTTCTAAGGAGACCTATTCTCAATCATTATTCACATATATATACGTATATATTTAACAAATAAAACTCAATCATTGCAAGTGAAAGAATAAGTACTGATATCTTGGGCAAAACAGCAATCTCTTCCATTAGGAAATGGAGAATGAGTTATAGATCTTACTATGGTTGTTTGCCAAACATTGCTCATGTTAAACCTTGTTTTCAATGTATATGAAAAATCAAACTCTTGCTTGGGTGCTGAAACAGGCATCGGTGAGTTCTTGAGCTCTTTTCAATCTCCAGCACTACATAATCTCCTTATGTCCAGGCATTCCTTATGGAGCCAACGCCTCACTGCTTTCTTGAAAGCTATGGTCTTTCCGTAGAGACTTCTGAGTGTCCCATATATACTCAAGTATAGTCCAACATTTAATTTTAGGCTAGTAGTGTAACTATATTAGAAGCAATGAGCAATGATTGTGCTGATCCATGAACAGATTTGTCCTTACATTTATCAAGGTGTGGTGAATCAGCTCCAATTCAGGCTCTACAGATGTTGCTGCCCTGATCTCTTTTCATCCGCAAGGACCCTCATCCTTAACTCCAAAAATTAAATGTCTTCAAGAGAAGGAAAAAGGGTGGATTACCTAAATGATGTATAACCATAACACTGCGTGCTTCTCCAGTGTATAACCGTGACCAGTACATAACCAGGGCATCTAGTGAATAACCACAACTCCCGGTGCTCCACTAATCAGATGGTGTAAGGTCAGCATAAGTGGAGATAAAGAGGGTCAGAAAAACCATCAAATCCCTCAGTGAATAAACCCTCTTTTTTTTTATCCCTAACCTCCACCCCTTCCTTTTCCATAAAAATATACTGTCCGTAAACAGCAACATCTTTTAGCTGCAGTTCAATATAAGTCTGGAGTGGAGGCTTTTACACCGGCAGCTCCACTCCTTGAGGATGTTCTCCATTCGAGCTGTGGCCACATTGGTAAAAATTATTTACCTTGATTATAAAAGGTCTGATGGCCAAGTCCATAGAGCTTTACACTCAGGGAATTAATTTCTCTGCAGTTGCCTTGTGGGGGAAGGGGTAAGAGGGATGACAGTTGACCATTCATGCCAGATGAGGACATTGAGTTTAATCAAAGTGGTAAGGAAGACAGTTGGCAAAGCGTGAAGAACCATAACCTATCCCTTTTCATATCCAGTTTCTTGTCCTTTCTAGTGTATTCTTTCCTCCTCTCTTTCTTCTGGTTCCATTTGGAGCAGAAGGTTTCAGGCTGACAGTTCTCCCTTTATATAAAGCAATATGCACTTTTATAGCTTTCTACTGTTGGTTTTTTTTATAGTTTATATATATTTATTGTCCCTATTCTCGAGCCCAGTTTGATGGTGTATCATTGAGAAAGAGCACAAGGATCATTGTTTATCATATAGCAAGCTACAAGCTGTAATAGTCTTTGTCCTGGGTTTGTCCCCAGCATCTTAACTAAGCAAACTAATACATGCCCAAAAGCATTTGTGCTGATATATTATTCATACAGCCATATTTCTTATGCCCTGATACAGTCTATTACCAGTTCATGGATGCAAATCATGCGAAACCACCCTGCTTCCCAATCTTTTCTTTACCTGTGGGCTTTTACCTGTGCAATCAAGGTTTTCAAAGAGAGGAGGCGTCCCTGGAAGGCAGCGTCATGAAGAGGGGATCGGTCTGCCCAGCTGCCTGAAACAGCAAATGCATGGAAGCTAATTCAGGTGAGCAGCAGAGGCAGATCCCAGGAGGACAGGGGAAACACAGCCTCGTGTAAATGTAGATCAGGACTAAAATCAATGTGGGGTCAGTGGTGAAACTGTTTGATAAATTGATTTCAGTAGAGCAGCTGAGGGCTCAGCAATCCTGAGAAAGCTGGCTGCTCACTAAGGGACCTAAACAAAAGCTTCTTGGCAGAACTTTTAATAGAACAGCTAAAAACATGCTTCAGCAAAAATCACAAGTTTAGTACTGCTGGGTCTAATAGGGAGACTTTTGAACCCTGCAATTCTCCTATTCAAAACCATATCAGCCTCCTCCTTTCCCAGGGAGCTTTTGACACAAATTGCATCTCAGCTTCCCTGGCACTTAGTTAAGAGATGCATAGCAGGGAGACATGGGGATGACTTGTCCATCAAATGAATTCTGACATGTCCCTGTGAGTTTTTTTTCATGAACTGACAATTTCATAAATAACATCCTCCATCTCAGGCTACTAGGTAATATATTTCATCATCCTCTTCACTGAAAGATTTTAGAAAATGCATGGAAAAACAAATTCTGCCTGAGGTTTTACTTTTCTTCTTTAATAATGTTGAGATGTTGAACTGTTTGGACTCCTTCATGTAGTCTTGCCCTTTTTCTTATCTTAATCTATTTATGTGCTAAGAAAAAAAATTCTTTATCATAGCTACTACTTACAGGCATATACAGCCACCCAAGGTAAAATCCCTGCCACTCAAGTAGAGAGAAAAATTTCTTGTTACATATTAAAATTTATAACCATGCCACAACAGTGGGTAGTAAGTACTTCTCCAAAGGTCAGCTGCATTTGCAGTGCTACAGGACAGAAGCAACACCAATGTTTGCATTCATCCTCTGTTGTACAGCAACCCCATGGGCACTTATTTGAAACTCTTGTCCTGTTTAATTTTTTCAGCTACACCACACCAGAGAGAATGGAAAGGGTGATTTATCTCCTTTTAAATTATACCCAAGGCAGTGAGAAATCAATGAAAGGTACAGACATATCCATGGGGACTTGAGGCCAAGGACACAGCAGAGGTTTCACTCTTGGCCAAGAGAGTTTCCTTCTGTGTACCCAAGAGGCAGGATGCACTTGAGCTCATGGGGTTACGCTTTTAACTATAACTATTAGTTTTATTTCCATTTATGTAGGGAGCTGTTCCTAGGCTCCTAAGGCAGGAAGCTGGAATGGAAAGACCAGCTGGCATAATATACGACAAGGCTCTGAATGACCAGGTAGAACTCAGCAGTCAAAATGATGGAAACAAGAACCAAGCAGGTTGAGAGAGAAACATCTTCCTGAAAATATCCAAAATACCCCATACTCCTCATCATGCTGGTGACTGAAATAGGCAAGCTCAATTCAGAAAATCAAGACATTGTAAGTGACAAAGCCCAGAGCCCTTATACAGCAGGAAGATTCAGAAGTAACTCAGACAACAGAGCTACAGTGCCTTATTTAACCTTTTAAGCCTGAAGTGTAACACATGCAAGTGCATTTCCAACACACGTGTATGCACACACATCCCTCGCCATGACAACACACCATGACAACTGCTGCACAGTTCCATGCCAGCCACCACAACCTACCTCCCTGAAACGTGTGGCAGATATAGTTCCCATATGGGGCACATCTTCCCTTCACAGCTGTGAGCGACATGACTGAAAGCACTCTCCTTTTAAATGTCTATGGATAAGTCAAGCAGTCCTGCTGCTGCTGTGCTACTTCACTGCAAGGAGAAATGCTGCAAAGCTCTGACTGTAATACAATATAGTGCCCCAGCAACAGTATCACATGATCTTGCATTTTGTAAGATTATCCTTGGTGGATTTTTGCAAATGGTAACTTGCAATAAAAATATGTTATGGCCTGCTGAATTTGAAGGCACCTCAATAAGAACCTGCATGAAGGAAAAACTGCTGTTTGCCAAGTCTGACTATGATTGCATAAAGGTGCTTGATAAAAAATGACAGTAATAAATAAGAGAAATTATATTCTGGAGAATAAAAAATAAATTAACAGCCAAGACATGCCTGTATATATACAGGTTTCATAAAGGCTTTGTAAAAAATGCTTGGCTGCAGTATTTCTCTTGGCCAGATCTTAATCTCTCTGTTTTGGGTGGCCATCTCGCACCACTCATGTTCTGCTCCTCTTCATGTGCCTGTTCATGATGGCACAATCCATCATGAAGCAAGTGCCAAACAAATGAGTCACATAAAAATGTGTGATGTCACAAGGCTGATAAGAATCTTCAACTAGAAAAATAAGTCCTCATTAGCAGTAAATTTAAAATACTGTGTCATTTTAATTAGTGGAATTAACAGGCATGCAAACACACGTCTGCTCATTATTATGGCAGTGATGTGAAGGAGTAAAATAACTTGGAAAAAAACAAAACCATGACCTACTAAATAACCTACAAAATACAATATATTCATGTGCCATATATTTTTCAGAACAATTTTAGCTGCATTCATTTTTATCATCTGATTTACAAAAAACAAGGATTCTTGGCTTGGATTCATGAACTCATTAGTTATATCCTCCTAGCATCTCCTTTCAAAAAATCAGTGTGCTAAAACTTTTCCCTAAATATTCTCTGGCAGTAAAGCTGGATATTTAGTAAAACCATCTGTAACCACTGCTAAAGAATGCTTTGCTTCCGAGAACAATCTTTTTATTTACCATAGTGCCTTGAGCAAATGTTGTTCTCATTCTAGCCGGAGTCTCATATTTTGCACACCTAAATCATGCCAACACATACTGACACTCCAAAGACCCCAGAAATGGAAGGCACTTCAGGTTAAAACAGTCACGCATGCATTTAGCAACAAATTCCTCATTTCATGGCAACTCACTGATTTAAATCCTCAAGTTACAAAAATGTAGCAAATATACATTTAAATGTTAGAGAGTCCATATTTTTACTTTACCTGGGACTATTCCATAGATCTCTTCTGCTATCCTGGCAGCCTCTTTTCTGTTGCCTTTAACAATATAGAAATGGGTCAGCAAAGCCAAGGAAATCTTAATTAAAAGCTTGAAGCAAAACAAAGCAAAAATGGCAAAATAAATGTTGGTGAAAGCATGGAGTATAGAACTGCCCTCCATTTTGGTTTGCTCTTTGAATAGTTTCTCAGGTTGGCTAAGTGGCACTGGGATATTCTTGGTATCATGTGTCATCTATTTTAAACCCTTCAGGACCTGCTGTTCCTCACTTACCAAAAATACATTCTGGTTTTATTTGGTAGAGGCTATTTGATACTAAATAACCAAGGATAAGATACTTTGAACATCTCTGCGTACAAGAAAAAACCAGAAACACTTTTCCAAACCCACATAAATTAGCATAAATTTTCAGATGCTCTCCATGCCACCTGAAAAGCCTGAACATCCACATTAGATTAATTCTTTGATGTAGCAATTCCATTTACAAGACTGCACAGGTAAAGATGCAGAAATTATTCAGAGATTCAGCAAAAAGAATGCTTTTCTGTGTTTCCCATCTTGATAAAAGGCTTTGCTGGTATTCAGATACAGAACAAAGAAAACATGTCAAAGAAAAGCATTATCATGAAATAATTTGAAATAAACCCACATATTTCCAAAGTCAGGGCTAAGAAGTCAAAGTTATTCTTGGAGGAGAAAAATACATTGAAATTGTGTGATAAGAAACACATAACACACTGGTATTTTCCATCACTCAGGGATAAAGAATGCTGTCCACTGGTATCTCTTGCAAACAGAATCTTACTGTTTTGAAAAAATAGAAATATTTTTACTTCATCCATCATTGATTCAAAGGTATAATATTTGAAACCGAAGAAGATGTACCCTTTCTTTAACTGCCCTTTTTACTTTCTGAAGGCACACGGCTTCCACAGAGAACAAAGTATTTTTTCTGCGTGTAATTAATTCAATCTATGTAGAATATCCACCTCTTTTTCTTTTAAACTTTGATTGATTCCTACTTTCCTACATGCACCACAGGAGATTTCTTTCTTTCGATAAATCTCCTCCTTGCCCAGGTACTCTTACTCTTCAATTTATACACCTGTCAAAGAAAAGAGCAGGATGACTCTCCTCTCTCAGGGATCCCGAAGAGATAGTGGATATGCAGAAGGAAACTTTACAGTAAATTATTTCCCTGGACACTTTAGAGGTAACTTCTTTTGGTTTGTAGCAATATAGCTGGCTTAGCGCCTTAGTGAAATTCCAGTAATACCAAATTCCAGTAATACCAGGTGCTCTAAAACACCATGAGGAAGTTTGACCACTTGGAAGCAGTCACAGGAACATGACTCTTCCAGAAGGACAAAATCTATTTGTGTAGCAGCAAAATTATCCTCCTGGCTTCAGAACAAGACAACTAAAGATTTTTAGTTAAATTACGGAATGAGTCATTTGAGAAAAGCTTGTGTAATCTCTTAATCTGTTCTTAGTGTACAAGAGCACTAGGAAAATTACTGTGGTGGATTAAAAAGAAAATCATCAGTGGGAAGATGGCTGAACAGAACATGGAAACAATATTAGTGAAGGTGGTAGTCAGGTAACCATTGCAAGATCAGGAGTGATCACTGGGAAATGGCAGGTATTTTTTAAACTGAAGAGAGGTGAGCAACATAATGTAGGCATGAGAACAGGTAGAACACAAGAGACCAGAAATGACAGTGCAGAAACAGGATTCTCATTGTTCCTCCCTCGCTCTTTGCAGAATCATCATTGTGAGCTGAATAAGGTGGATTATACAACTCCATTGAGACTTGAGTGAACAAGTCAGCCCTCCATAGATAAAGCACACCTCATTGAGAACTTCTGCAAGATGCCCAAACTACTCCATGAACCACTCTTGCTTACAACTAGGATTAATAAATTGTTAAATCAAAATATCCAGGAAATGTCATGAGAAAGTGAATGAATAGAAGTAGTTTAGCTAGATCCTCCAAAGAACTGGAAAGACAAAGTTTATATATCCTTAGTTTACAAAGTTTACGTGCAAGGAATAAGAACAAAAGATAAGGCAATCCAGTTTAGAAGACAACTGATTTTCATTTTGGTTGACCGGAACTTTATCCAACAGGGAGAAATGTCAGATGTGACCTGAAGAATTTGGCAAGGAAATAAAAATTGGAGGGATCCTCATCTCAAAGAAATTAAAAAAGGTATTGGTCTATTCTTATGCTAGACAATCTCTGAATTACAGCATTGTATTTCTAACTTTTATCATCAAGAGTTTGAACATTAAATATATTCAAAGTAAGAGAAGTGGGGAAAAAGAGGAGACAGAAACACCCTGTCTGGAACAGAAGAGATCAGAACAAAAACATCTGTACAGAGAGCTGAGATATTTATTTTCTATCAGTTTGGTCTAATAAATGGCACTACTTCCCATACAAGCCTTGCCTCATTTGCATCCCTAAGTCAGCACACTTACAACACTCCTACTTTTGAAAAGGGATGTATGCAGTGACTCACTGGTTGCTCTCAAGGCAATGTGGGGTTCATCTCACCTATCTGCCACCCACCACAGCACGTAAGGTCTGGTTATCGAAACTCCTGCTGCTGCTTGGGCAGCAAGACAGCAAATTCCAGCAGGCAATTAATTTCCCCCATCTGCCTCCAACACCTGTGCTGGCCAGTAACACCTGAGCTGCTTAAACAATGAGCTTAAAGAACTAGCATTTTCTAGACAACCATTTATTCACAGTTAAAGTTCGATGAATCCCTCACAAATATCATCTCCAGAACTACGACAGTGTTGCAGCAATTCAGAACCTAAAAATAACCCAATCTACCTGCTGGGTTTACAAGAAAAATGCATCATTTCAGTAAAATGGTAAATTCAGATGCATAACCATATCCTTCCTTTAGTTTTGTTCCCTTAAAAAATATCCACCTTTTATCTATGCCAGTGCTCAAGTAATTAGGAAAAATTATGGAAGTCGACATACTATGGGTGTGATGATGCACAGGAAATATCATGAGAGTAGTTTAAAGATAGCAAATCAACATTAAAAATATCTAAATATTTTTTGATTCAAAAAACCCATAAAACTATTTCGAGATTGATTATTCTTATATCTATTTATATAAACTCTGTACTTTACGGAAGCATCAGAAAGATCAACTTTTACAATTATTTTTTAAAAGCCTACACACATATGAAAAAAAGGGACTAGTGAAGTAAATATCAAAAGGGAAAAAATACGTTTATTTCAAAAAGATGCAGATCTGTGCACATCCACTAAAATGCAATCTGAAAGACTAATCTTACATCCATACTTAACTAGAGGCTTGTTCTTGTTTAACATACAATTTTCAATTATCAACACACTGTCCACATCTTAATTCACAGCATCTGCATATAATGTATTGGAAACACCATTTCTCCTTGTGCCTGGGGGATGGAATTTCATTGCAGATTTTGGGGGACCCTCTATAAAGGTGGTTTTTGGGTGTTCCCTCCACCTACACGCCAGAGGCTCTGCTCTGTGCAAGACCTGAGTATCACTCTCTCTTTGGTAACGTCTCCTCGTTATTTCAAAATGATCACGTTACCTACAAGCACAATTCAAACATTTTAGATTTTTTTTTGTTATATTATAAATTTCTAACTACACTCATTATCTCAGTTCATTTTTTTAGTGCTGTGATTATTTTATTTAACTTTTTCCATGTCACCGACTGATTTTTTTAAAACTGTAAAAATGGTTCAGAGACATCACCCCTTACCCCACTGCACAAGGCCAGAAAATGAATTATTCCTGCAGAGAGTTCTGCGTCATACAAGTGGTGTTAATTGAGAAACAGCATATTTGTGGTCAAACCAGTTATGGATTAAGTTTTTATGGCAGCTTGTACAGAATGTTTTTTAATAATCATCTTTTTATAAGAACTCCAACCACCAGTGATGGGAAGCGGCAACATGGTGTGTATTCTTGTACTTCCTAATTGTATGTTCCCACATATTAGTGAAATGTGTCCATTCTTTATGGAAAGGTTAATAAACCTCTACATAAACTTTACATTGGGATTGTAAACAAGAGTATAACAAGGTTTTATTATGTTATTCATAAGTACACAATGTTCCACAAAAGAAAAAGGTATTTTGAATAGGTTTTGACAATCTCTTTGATTTGTGTTTGTAGATGTTGCAGGAAACCAAAAAGAAATAAACCAGAATCAGTAAAATATTATTACAAATATATATATAACATTTCCCTAGAGTGATAATTAGTATTTTCAAAAAGTTGTTAGAAACTTGAATGTTTGGGAAAAAAAAAACCAAACACCAAAAAAAGAGTGACTTAGAAAAGTAAAATATTATCTTAATTCCACCCATTTATCCTTAATCCATATGGCACCATTTTAGTTGACCTCCACTTTTAATGCAGAGCTCAAAAAATTCAGAATGTAATACAACACATTGTATGTTACATATCAAAGGCTAAAAATTCTAGTAAAAGAAAATAGTCTTTGTATATGGCATTTATTTTACATTACCCTTCTGTGTTCCATGAAAATATGTTCAATGAAATTATGTTTGTGGAATTACATCTCTAACCAAACAAGACGAAGTTGTGTTTTAAATACTACCCTTCAAGGGTTTGGAAACAGTATTTTCATATTGCACAGTGTTAATATTAATACAATGTCTGACAGTACACAATACTCAAGAGTCATAAAATTTAGTCATCAGTGATGCTTGGAAAATAAATGAACCCAGTGCATTAGACAAGGGGGAATTTTAGAGGTGGTTAACAGAAATGAGATGAACGCCTCCTCTCACACACTGGCACACTGTGCTGCCTCTTGTCCCAGGTATACATTGCTTAGGAATCCTAACAATTGCAAGGAGCCACATTTTTTTTTACCTCTCCGTGAAAAGCATCCACTTAAGGAATACCTTCCACTTAAGGGATACCTTCCTAAGATTCCTAAGATTTCACTTGCAGAACCTGACAGACAGTGTCTCAGATGTTGTGTAGGTGAAATCTCACACTCTGAACACTGTCTCTCCCAGAGATGGACTGAAATGCCACTTTGGTCTTAAGTAAGGGGAAGGAAAAAGAGAAAAGGGAAAAACAAAACAGTGGGTAGGAGGTGAGAGGGCGGAGAGAGTGATCAAGCACAATGGTACTTGTTAAGCCCTTCAGAGATTTCACTCTCTCTCACACACGTTACTTCACACTTTGGCACAGTCTGCTGGAAGAGTTTTCAGGCCTGAGATGTTTCTGAAGGCTGTATTATCTCTAAATAATACTATTTCTTCAGCTATGTACTGAAAAAGCTGCTATAAGCTTTACACCACTTTCACACACGTAAGTGAACTGAATAAATTTAGCACCTCTGAAAATATCAAAAAAATCATTATGAAATTTTCATTTAGCAACAGGAGGATCAAATCTGACTAAGGAAGAACTTCAGAATAATAATGCTGTGCAGGCAAAACACTGTCACTGGGACAAAACTATTAGAAATAAGTCTCTGAAATTTACATGGTAATGGAGTTTATGACTAATTTCAAGTGCCATTTTCATTTGAGGACAGAAAAAATGTGTTTTGTTGGGTTTGAAGTTATTTTGAAAGAAGTCTTACAATAAAGATCACAGTAAATATCACGAATTAGCAGGGACTACTGTAAGCTAATAATGTTTGTGTTTTGCTTTTCCAAATACCACTAAAGTTTAAATCCCTTTCTGAAATATTCAGAAAAATCCTGTGGTTTTGTTTCAAAGGCTTTTAACACATATAAAAACCCATGTTCTCCTCCCAGCTTTAAGTGCAAAGGATGTCTGAATATTGGATGAATTCGAAACTAAACTAAAAATATCATCCTAAATTGAGGTAGCACATTTAACCAAGTTTCTTTCCAAGAACGTCAGAAAGAAACTGAAGAACTGGACGAGTAAGGTCTCTGTCAGCAAGAATTAAACTCTTCAGTGACTGATGCATTCTTCCCTCACCACTCGAGCATTTTAGGAGCTTGGAAGTTCTTTAACTCTTCTTTTTTTTTCCCAAAAAATACTGTTTAGTCCATGCACCTTCAGGTCCTGTGGCATCTATTGCAACATCAATAATGGAATCTGGAGTCATCCACCTCAGAAACGCCAAGAGAAGGAAGTTCAGAACAGCAAAAAAAGCAAAAATACACCCAGTCACTGGGCCACAGTGAGACATTAGTCTGTCAAGTCGTTCATCCATTGGTAAAACCAGTTCATCTGCAACCCTGTCATACACCTAAATGGGGAGGAGACATAGAATAAGGTCTTAAAACAGGTAACTTAACAATGAGCTAACAACTGTATTGTGTACAATGTGAGTTCCATGCATACTTCTGCCAATTATATGAACATTTTTCCTAACAAGAGCTTTGGTGGGGTTTTTTGAAGAATGGGCTACATAAAAGAAACTGAAATCTAGGCTAACTTCTATAAAAACTTTGCAATTCAAATATTGCTTGAAGTCACAAAATCATAAAATGAATTGTACTGATGGCACTTGAAAATGATAAACTGGTTGTACATGATACTTCAAGGTGGCTTACAAGAGATATATAAGTGCACTACAGTGTAAGTAAGAAGCATGTGGTTCATCTGTTCTCTCCTTCCTAAAACACAGGAGCTGAAGTCAAAAGTGACACATCTCCACAGGTTTTTGTAACATTACTGCAGTTACCATTCTTTGCTAACAGCAGAAGTTTTATGCTGAAGTGTGGTTCTAATTCTGAAATACCATTTCAAAACTATGAAAATTAATTTTCATTACAATGACAGCTTATGTAAATTCAGCTATAGTTCAGCCTTCTGGCATTAAACTACCTCTCATAATTTTAAACCCCTTGTTAGCACGTGGCAGACAAAACTTAGTCATGACCTGTCTTTACATTTTCATACATCTTATACAGCACATTTTCCAGTTATGCCAGAAAAGTTACTCCATGTGAAGACTTGAATAAATACATGAGTAGAAATCTAACTAAAGAACTAGGCTGTTCTTCACAATATTTGTCAGCAGTTGCGGCATATTAAAAAATACAAATAGAAAAAACCCCACGTATCTAGGGAAGTATTTGGGGAAAACAAAAAGCATCTTCTGAACCTTTTAAAACCATATATGTTTGTCAGGAAACCTGTTTAAAAATTACACTGGAAGATTACACAGAGAATGTACATTGTAATATTTCAAAGCAGCAGCTGTTTCAGAAATGTATTTTATGAGAATTTAAAAGAAGTAGTTATACATACTTTCTCAGTTCTCTCTGCAACGTTCCTCCATGTATAAAATGTCTTTACTTTATTATGAACAGTTTCTGGAGATGGAAGTGTTCCTGATCTGAGTTGGGCAATAGCTTTTTCTAATCCATCACACAAAGATTTCACGGAGGGCTCACATAAAATAATGAGATTTTCTGGAAGCACCTCAGGAATCCCGCCCACTCTCGTACTCACCACCTTGGAAACAAGCAAAAGAAACAGTACATATGCAGGACAGCAATAAAATTGTGTGGTGGCACTGCTAATAGTGTTTAGATGCAGCACTTGAGAAGAAAAATATCACGCTTTGGGAATTTGATCGGTACGTGAACTCCAGGTGTAGGCCCCAGAAAAGACCTGGCATAGCAGATAATCTTTAACAATGTCCAGAGTGATTCTTTGGTGGCATGATAAACCAGAAGACTTGGTCTAATGAGTGCTTATGAGACATCTTTCCTGAAGGTGTTTGTAACAGTACAAAACTAAATCCGTGTAACCAGGTTTTGGACTCTTCCTCCAAAGTCCCTCATAAAATATGTTACCTCTATTTGGAGAGGACAGTTTTACCACATGCACTTTCAGTCTATGCCCTCTAGGCTACTGAACATTTACAAGAATTTATTTATCAGTTCAGTAATTTTAATCTGAATTATTATTTTTAGAAGGAAATCAGAAATTACTAAGACTCACATTGTGCAATCATCTCTAAAAGCAGGTAACAAAAAGAAACTGCAGAACTTCCTCACCTCTAAAGAGGAAAACAGATGACAAGGGAATAACTACCACAACTAGGTTGTAACTGCCATCAAAAGATACTGAAGTAAAAAAAAAATAAAGTCACTCATATTTTCTATGCTTCCTGTAAATCAGATACTCATATCAGTCTGTCTTTTTAATAAAGTTTCTTCATATTTTAATGTGAAAATTTAAGTTCTTTATGGCTATTGATTCGACTTCTTTTAAGTTGTTAATCTGAGTTGTAAATTAGCCAGAAAGGACTTTACAGTTCTCTCTCTCTCCAACTCTTCTCTTGAATCCCTACATAGTCAGGCAATTTTTCTGCAGCTCCTCTCAAAGCAATGTCAAAGTAAACATTTGTGAACATCAACCACCCCAAAACTCTGTAAAGGAGTACATACAAAATAGCATTTTGGAGAGGCAGTCTGGCTAGTTAGGGGAACTGAGAGAAGACTTCTCAAAGCTTAAGCAGTTTCAATTAACCGTTCTGTCTCAGCTTCCAGGTGATCTGTAAATGGGGATAATATTTGTCCACGTTTTTAAAGACAGTCTCAGATGAAACCAAATGTAACAACCACATATTATTTGATTGTGACCTTTGTTTAAAATGGATAAATGCTCTCTAGACACTGAGATTTTTTTTTACCTGTAAACCACAGCTTGCTGCTTCCACAATAGCCATACAAAAGGCCTCAGTGAGGGAAGTGTTGAGAAAAATGTGTCCCTGGACTAGCACATTTCTAACATCCTGGTGTTCCAAGGCTCCAAGAAGACGTACCCTGCATATAAGAGGACAGAAATAATAGAGATAAACACTAAATCTGGACTGTAATAGTGCTGTACAGCACTATTACTATATTCTGAAAAAGGTATCAATGGGTCACACTTGTACAGTGAGAGGATGAATCAAGGCACCTTGGTTCCATTTTCTCTAAATTTTTCCAGCAATGGAGAAACAGAAGACTGCTTTTTATTGTCAAACTGAAAGATATTTCTGAAAATAAAGTTGAGGGGAGAAGTTGCTGTTATAAGGACAACTGCCTTCAAAACATTGCTACTGAGCTTTCCAGTTCTGCAAGAGAAAATAGTTTCCTTCAGTTAATAACTAAGATTTGTCAAATGCATTGTTTAAATTTTCGCTGTGAGGTCTGAGCAATCAGAGTCTGAGGGGGAAAAGTATTTATGATCAGAACCTATTATTTTTAAGAGATACCAAAAAACAGCAAAGAGTAAAAGGAGAATGATACTGAAAAATAATTTTATGAGGGGAATCATTGACGGAACTACAAAACAGGCAACAAAAAAAAATAGAAAAGAAAATGAAAAATTAAGAACATAAACCTGGCTTTGATCATGAAAAAAATACATAAATGCATATGTATCATGGAAACATTTTGGTAACACGGTACATGTTTGTAATACCACAAGAGCATTAGATAAGCTCTATGCCAAGGGTTTCATAGTGAAATAAAAAAAATTACTAGCAGTCACCATCACAGCAGCAGTGACACAAATGAGCTAACACCTTTGGCCACACAGTAATATGTGATCCAAGTATCATGGTTGCAGAGAGGAATATGACAAATTTATATCTAAGTCAACTTTTCTATGACTTGAGTGAAGGTTCATTTAGAGTCTATTTTTATTAATCATCTTGCAGGATCACAGTCCCACTCTCAAAGTCTTCAGCGAGTGTCTGGTCTATTTTCTTTGCCTTCAATAAATTTCATCTTCGCCAGCCTCAAATTTTCAGGTTTTTTGGGGAGAGGGTGCAGGCAGTTCCCCACCCCTGAAGTACATTGAAAGGTCATAGACATTCACAAAACAAACCTGTCATGGAGCTGGTATCTTTCCCGGACTTCTTCCAGCACGATTCGTTTTGGTCCTTCTCCTCCAACTAAGAAATGTAACTCTGGATATTTCTGACAGAGCTCAGGAATTATACCACTAAGCAAATCTATACCTAAGAGTAGAAAATTAAGGGCAAGCAGTTATTGTACTTGATTTCAGAACTTCTCATGATGTATCCCACCACAATAACTCTATTCAAGAGTAGGGGAAAAAAAGTCTCTTGAAGACAGTTACACTGTTGTATATAAAATTATGAAAAAACCCCACAGTTTTTGATCTCTTAAGAGACAAATAAGAAAAATCACTTAAGTTGCTGTCACTTCATTAAATAAAAAACTATTAAAACACTTCTACAAAACAGATTAGGACCTAAATCATATGTCCAACATAAGCCACACCTACCATTTTATAAATTGCAATTTTCAGTATCTTCAATATTACAGAAGAAACAAAACTCTGAACCAACACACACAAACCAAAACGTACATTTCTTCTTCTTGAGTGCACAGACACAAAAGATCAGAACGGCCACCTCTCCACTCCCACTGAAAATTCCATCCATGCCACAGACACAGTATAAGTGGTACCTAACCAAGACCTTCCTAAAAAAAAGAACCCAAATAAACTCACATTTTAACCCCCATTACCTTTTCTGTAAACAAGTCTGCTGACAACAACAATTGTTACTGTACTGTCATCCCTCCTTGACGGGTCTGGAGTAAAGTCGGTGGGATCGACAGCGTTGGGGATGACAGAGACTATCCGAGGGTCCAGAGCCGCTCGCAGCACCGTGTTCTCCTTACTCGTGTAGGACACGCAGATGATGTGGTTGGTGTCGCACAGGGACACCGTCAGCAGCTTGTTGGTCAGCACCGAGCTGACATCAGCGAACCCGAAGAGGGAGTGGTCCGTGAAGACGGTGTGCAGCCCCATGGTCTTGGCGTGGAACAGCGCGTCGTGGGCCATGGCGGAGAAGGAGCTGTGGGCGTGCACGATGGTCACCCTCTCCCGCACGAAGATGTACCTGAGCAAGGGCAGGCTGTGGAACAAGGTGGTGGCCGTGGACTGGTTGTACATCACCTTTAGGGGCAGGTAGTAGACTTTGAGCCCGCTGGTGAGATAGCGGACGCCCTTCCTGTGGCCGTAGGCGTGGGTGACCACCAGGACCTTGTGGCCGCGCTCGATGAGGCACTGCGACAGCTGGTACACGTGGCTCTCCACGCCCCCCATGTTGGGGTAGAAGAAGTCCGACACCATGCACACGCTGTGCGCCGCGGGGCCTCTGCCCGCCGTCCCGGGCCCGCTCCTGCCGGGGGAAGGAACCACAAGGCGCCATCACTCGCCGGCGGCCGCCCCCGACGACCCCGGCCCCCGAACTACCGGCGGCACCGCCGGGCGCGGCCGCGAGGCCCGCGCAGGCCGCACACACCGGAGGGCGGCGCCGCGGCCCCTTGAGGAGTCCGGTCACCCCGGCGGCCGCCCCGGGGGAGCGCGGGGGCGGTGAGGGCGGGGGGACCGCGCACGTACCTGCCGGCGGCGGGCGCTCCCTGCGCGCTGCCCGGCGCCATCTCGCCATTGCCCAGTCACCGCGGCAACCGCGCGCGCCCGCACCGAGCCGCGCCGCAGCCAATCACCGCCCTGCGCTGCGTCACGCGGGAAACGGAGCGCCAATCGGGGAGAGGGCACGTGCCGGGGGCGGGGGCGCCGCGCGTCAGTCCCGCATCCCGGGGTCCCGCCCTCCGGGCACGACCCTGGACAGTTGTCAAAAAAGTGTAGTCCGGAGTGATGGAAAGAGGTGAGCGTGCTGTAAACGGAAGGGATTGCCTCACAATTCCAATGGCTTTGCCCTGCCCTCAGTGGAGGAGCTCTCCTGGAGTGCTTCTGTTTGGCTCGATCGCAGCTGGATCCCCCGAAGCGTTCTCGATTCTTCTGCCACAGGTGCTGGACGCTTGCTGTCTCTAAGTAAACAAATATGATTTTTACAGGCGGTCCAGGAGCTTAAACGCTGGGAAAGCACCTGAGTTTCGTGACTTGTGCTCTGACACCCCGGGCTGGCATCGTTTGGCTGTGTATTCCTGGTCTTCTGGAGGAGCTTTGCCATCAGCCTTTTGCAGCTCCAGCACCAGCCTGACTGCTTCTGACTGCCAGGAAGGGTGTGATCTCACCAGGCTGGGGTTGCTCATGCCTCTCCTGTGTAGTCCCACAATTATGTTTGGCAGGTCCTTCCTCTTGCCAAGATTTCTGTTACAAATTTTGTCAGATTCAATTCTGTCATCACTCCTATGCAAATATATGTGTCATGAGTGACAGTACAAGCTGACCTCGGCTGGTGTGCTGGCTGGATTCCTGGTTAGGTTGAAGCTTGGACAGACGTGGTTTGGAAGCATTGATCCTGAAATAGAAAATGAAATAAAATTTAGCTATTTAGCGATGTAAGTGTGACTTTGCAAAATGTAAAACTGCTTAAAAGTTTCTGCCCAAACTGTGGGCAATTGAGATAAAATAGCTTAGAGAATAGGGAAGGCTTTTTAGCACGTAGAGAGGGGTGGGGAACCTGAAACTGCTTGAAATGATAAAACTTTATGTAACTACTCTATAATGGTAAGAATAGGAGGTAAAACTAAATGTCTATTTAGATAAGGCAGACTGCAAAAGAGTGTGTGTAAAGATAATTTTAAACTTGCTACTTTCAAACTGTATAAAAAGCTATGGTATTTCTTAGCTCAGTGGAGTGCACTGGGGAGAACACCTGCCCCTTTGCATTCCCGGGCCGTAATAAAAGTGCTTTTCAGATTGGCAGAGGTTTCTTTGAATCAATCCCACAAAGAACCGAGGAGGAAATCAGGCAGTTCATTCTAAGGACTGAAAGACATGAAAGACACTAGTGTGTTGAATAAGAAAAACATTGCTTGTTGTTTGAATTTTTCTCACGTGTTCAGAAAGGCGGGACCAGTATTAGCAAGTCTGATTTCATCATCGGATGCTGCTCTGGCGTGGCAAGAACCTGAATTTCGGGGTGAGAAGCTGCATGTGAGGCCAGAAGAGGGGAAGCTTCTCACCAGCAGCAGCAGGGTGTGAAAGAAGAAGAGACTGAGAAGCAAGGAGCCTTAGGGATCCTAGTTCTTAGAAGAAACTGTATCCTGAGTGTAAAGTAGTGGCCTTAAATTACATCTATGAAGAAAACCCCAAAAATATCATCCAAGTAGTGCCAGGAGAAGGCGGTTCTCAGCTGCAGCACACCATGATGTAAGCCCTGGTAAATGATGGTGGTGACCTCCCTTCTGTCAGGCTGCCTGAAGAATCAAGCTGTCCCAGTCACCAATTTTAGATGTCAGAAAAACAATGCTTATGGTTTTAACTATTAGGTAAATGTTGGGGTTTTTTAGACTAGTTCTTTTTCTGCACTCTCTAAAGAAGATGTAATTTTTGGTATGCAAGCTTAAAAATCCAAAGAGAAATCATAAATGGTAAATGACAAAGCAGCCCCTTTCTTCAGTGAAAGAAGTGGGATTTGATGTGTTCCATAAGCTAATGCTGACCCACTACTGTGCAAAGCCAGAATGCTGGCACTGACCTACAAAACCTGCAATAGGACAGGTCCACTTAATCTTATAAACCTCCTTTTATGCCACAGCAGTTGTAATTTTTCGTCCCTCTATATTTGTCTGAATTTTGGAGGGAACTTGGCACTTTCCCAGCAGGTGGCCATAGGCTCCACATGTCTTTCTGTAGGAGATCAGGTAAAGTATTGTGGCCAAGCCTTCATGCCCCTGCCTGGCATGTTGGCTCTGGTGGTCTGACACCTGTGTTCTTCATTAAACATGTCCAGTTGTGCCTAATGTCATACCTGTCAGTGCTCCAATCAGTCTCCCTATATCAGCAGCCTTCTCTGGTTGTTATGTTCAAGGGACCTTGAAAAGTTGGTCTACCAAGGAGCCTAGGAGAAACCTTAATGGATAGGAATCTTTTCCACTGCAAAGTTAGCAAAGGTGCTGCTAAATTTTCTCTCCATGGTTGGTTCAGAAAGATGGGGTAACAGATTTTTCACTGTCTGTGGTGTTGTGTTGTTTAGTAAGAAAATTGTCACAGATCCTGGACAGATCCAGAGTCTGTCCTGCCCTGATCTGAGGTGGAACTGATATCGAAGGCACCAACAGCTGAAGAAGGAATCAAATTTTCTTACTTTCTAAATGCTTGCAGTCAATGTATTCACTCCCTCATTTAAAGCACGTACAAGGTCAGAGTGAGGCTGTGGAATATGTAAAGTAGAGAGTAAAGATGTTAAACCAGTGACAGCACAGTAATTGCTGCTTCCAAGCCTGGTCCTTGAATGCTCTCTAAAGCATCCTCATAAATTGAGTTAATGGAGAGAGAAGATGGAGGACACTTAAAGAGACTCCTGTGGCTTTGTTCTGGTAGCACATGCCATTGTTCCTCAAGGAGACCACTTCACTGTTCTCAAAATTGTATGGAAACTTTTTGCTGGTACTCTGTGTTATCACCTCCCGCTCAGCCTCCTCTCAGGCTGAATTTGCTGCTCTCAGCCCCCAGTGTGGTGGATGATGTTGCTCCTATTGCATGTCTGTATGGAGCTAAACCTGTCACTATTTGGTGAAGAGGCTTTGCCGTGTGTTATAAGCTGGTGTATTTATTTACCCTTAATAAGCCTAAAGCATGCATATTTATTATACAAAACATTAGTAATTGGCAGAAACAAGCCATCAGCTGTTCACAACATAGTTCACAACAGAGCTGTGAAGCAGTGCTGTTCTAGAGCCTGATGCCATGGCAAGGGAGCTGTAGTGCTCCTGAAAAAGAAATCTTGTGACATGGAATAGTGGCATGCACAACCAGATAGCAGTGTTTTTTTCTTGGACATTTTCTTTCCATGATTCAGGAAAGCAGAAACTGTTGGAAGCCCCAAATGAAGATCAGTGAAAAATAGTACTGCTGAATTGAGAATTGTGGCCTATAGATGCAGCATAGACTGATTAGTGATAGCAAACAAGAGAGAGCCAGAGACAACCCAACACCTTGTTTTAAAAACCACAGTGTTTGCAGGTTTTGATCCTGCTGGAATAAATATGCTCTAAAACAAGGAGGAAAGCAGTATTTTAAATCTTTTTGCTGAAGAGAAAGGACAAACTGTCCTTCCATTTGGTTTACTTTTATAGGGTAAGGCTGGAGAGCCTGTCACTTCTCCTAAGATTCCTGCTTAGAAGGAGTGAGGGCCCAAGTGTCTACCTCAGTGGTTGTTTTCTGGTGCTAGGAAATAGCAGAATCTAACAGGTTTCTCTAGTACCTTAAAAAGGTTGGTTTTGCCTGGTTTCCACTGGGTACAGCCCCTCCTATTACCTGGCTGCAATACCACTCACAAAGCAGGCAAGAGAAATCATGATTTTCTCATTTGAGTACCTGGATTTTCTTACAGACTTTCTCCCCTGTTCATGGAATTCCATAGAAGCTGGCTGAAATGACATGTTAATGTACTTCTAAAATAGAGGTTTCAAGTTGAAAGCTTAACAAACTGCAGTGTAGTCCATGAAGGAAATTACCATTAAACACAAACTGGAAAAAGGGATTCTTTTCTTTAAGCCAAATTTCTCTCTTCAATGCCAGAAAAAAGGGTTGTTTTTCCATTTTAAAGACACATCTCCCTTCCAAGCAGGTTGGAGTTCATCTGTAGCAGATGAATTTGCTAATAGAAGGGAGCAGTTGATTGGCAAGGCTGTCCCTGTTAGATCTCACATCTGTATGTAATCTGTGCCTCTCACACACGCCCCAAAGTCTGAATCACTCAGTCATCCTCTGTGTACTAAAATGCTCCTCCCAGAGCCCAGAGCATTCTCTTCCCTCTCAAATCAGGACAGTGAAGGTAGGGAAGAGCATGAGGGCTTGGGAGCAGCTAAAGAGTACATAGAAGGATTAGCTTCCGCTCCTCTGGGCTTACAAACAGGTTACATCTCTGACCTTACCAGGACAGGACAGCTGCTCACAGTGCATTGACAGTTGCTGAGAATAATCCTCCTTTACACCAGCTGTGCATAAGTCATTTACCACTTCCATGCAGGAGCCATTGGTTCCTGAGCACTTGGTTCCAGAGTCCTTCCTGGTCCCTAGCTGGAGCAGTCGTTGCAAACAAAGCCTGGATGGTGTCTGTCTTCTGCCTTCTCAGATGAGGCGGTGATCCAGCCTGAATATTCCTCAAATGGGGCTGAAAAAGATTCCTGGGCACACAATGCAAAGTGATGGCTGTGCTCTCCCCGACATTTTAAGTCCATCAGGAGGACTGGTTGCTTTTGTACTGGCAGACCTGGGGGATATCTGTCCTGCAGCCAGCATACAAACAGTATCAACTCTCTAACAAGCCATCTGACTAACTTAACAGAAAAAAAATTCTGCTTGTGTCTGATTTGTATCAAATCAGGTATAGTAAGATATACCTGGTGTCAATTATGAAGCCACAGCATATTGACCACACTAGACTTGGTTTTACTTTTTTTTTTCCCCTCAGCTTTACTAGATTTTACTGTCTGTTTAGCTGGAGATCTAAATTTCTGTTTCTGCAGTCTTGAGACCACATCAAAGTACTTCAGCACTCAGGCATCAGCTGTATTAGAAGAGAAGGCCTGTCCTAGAGATCTCTTTGTACCTCTAAGACTGTACTTGACAAACTCTTTTAAAAACTCCTGGGAATCTGTTTTGTAGAGTTCTACATTCTGTGAGTCAATGCAAACGGAAGCTCCAGAACTGTCAGATGGGTTTCAGCACTAAAATGCTAACAAAATGGGTTTAACTGAAAGTTCCACAAGTATAATGACTTCTTGGTGGAGGTGGAAAAAAGGTGCAGTGACAACAGTAGATGGAGCTGTTGGAAACTTAAAATGTGTTTGTCCTGGTGGCAATGCAAAATATTCTCAGAGCATTAGTGTAGTACCTGCCTGCATTGTATAGTTTGTAATTTAAAGAAAACCGAGTTTCTTATGAAAACTAAGCATGAACTATCCAATATTTTGATAGTTTGTATCCAAATTCAATCTGTAAAGCAAGAATAATTAATTATACTTTAAAATCCATTAAATGAAACAAAGATTTCTTTAAGTTGATA